ATAATGTGCAAATTTTAGGTGACCTTGAACCCACACATATCTATGGAGGCGTCCTTGATCTGTGTCTTGGCTTCAACATTACTTCTGCCAGCTGTGAGTCTTCCATTGTAACAGATATAGCGTCTGATCATTTCCCAAGGCTAACCTCTCTAGATATTGGTAATACTATCCTTCCGGGTGTGATATTCAAACGGAAACGTTTTAATGTTTCCCCTGATCAGCATGATGACTTTGTTGCACATGTGACTTACTGATATAATTCCTGAGTGTCCCTCCGTTGAGACCTTTAACAATGACCTTGTGAGCAGTATTCAGAATTACTCAGAACCGCCGCTGAAACCCCATGGTAATATAAACTCATCTAACTTCCATAATAATCATACCTCCTATAAAAGCCATACTTATTACATTGATACTAAACTTCGAACACTGAAACGTACTACTCGCAGGCTAGGCCTAGCCTATAGAAACCATCGTACCCCTGGAATGTTGAGGCTCTTCCAAACTGCCCTTGCTGCTGCCAGAGAGCGTATGACAGAACTGCGGCAAACAGACTGGTGTCATTACGAACTCTATCTCTATACAGAGTTCAATTAGAGGCCCCCATTATTATTTACCCCGGGCACTCTAAACTTACCTACTATGCCCTATACAACAGTTTCTCTCATTTTAGCATTTAGAGCTCCCACACCAATTATTTTCGCACTTGATTCAAAGCTTCCTAAAGACGCGCTTAAATCCTCCCAATCTCTCTCTCTCTCTCTCTCTCTCTCTCTCTCTCTCTCTCTCTCTCTCTCTCTCTCTCTCTCTCTCCACACATTTCTTCCAAACTTTCTATAAAGAACTTTTCACATCACACCCTTATTCTAATCGACATAATTCATGAACTTATACACTTATATCCCCTCTTCTGACATAGTTAATCATTTAATATTATTGTCACACCTGACTTAACATTATTATTACTAACACAGATATACGAAGAAAGGCCTATTGTACCTAACCATAAATCAAGTGTCTAGACAGGAACCAGTCCTTAAGCAAATAAAAGCAAGGGCAAACACAGAGTGATTTTGAGTACCCGTATATTCCCTTCACCAATGTTTACAATATAAACAGTTCAACAGAGCACAAAGATGTTAATGAGCGATTGACTTTTCACCTCATACAAAATAAGATTTGTTCGGATTTTTATCCCGGGGGGTTAGCCATCCAGGATAACGCTAGAAAGTCAGTACGTTATTGAAAACTACCGGTCTTATTTCCATTGGGGGTTCTTAATTTTGTCCCCCAGGATGCAACCCACACCAGTCGACTAACACCCAGGTACCTACTTACTGGTATGTGAACAGGGACAGCAAGTGTAAGGAAACATGCCTAACGTTTCCACTCTACAGGGAATTGAACCCGGACACCTAGTATGTGAGGCGACAACGTTGGCAACAAAGCCATGGGATACCAGTATGTATGTATTCGAGCAGCCTCAGTCAGAGTTTACCCCGGAAACAACACATAGGGAATCGGAAAAACCACGGCCCCTCCACAGCTGCTCCGACGTAGCTGCCGGTTTGGCTTATGCAGAGGGAATGCAAGACGTGGTTGTGTGATGAACGCCAAATTAATTGAAACTTTCTTGATGCACACTACACCGTTGACACCCCACTGAAATTCTTCTACCCTATTGGTTCCACGTAGAGCTAGGATATCCAGCTTCATTTAATTCATAGCATTCACAATCAATTCTTTCTTCTCATCCATACTGTACCCATGCACATTCAAACGCCCCACCTTTAAAAGTTCATTTTTTTTCCATTTAGTTATTTATACAGAAGTTACAAGCCTTTTACGCCACGCATGTCTTACTGAGGAAGGACTCTTCTCCATGTCCCCATGGTAATGAAAGGAAACACTGTAAGAACAAGGACTGTTCAACGTGGTATCTCCACTGCCTCTAGCCTCCTCACTACAATGTTTAAAGCCCATGATTCACACTCATATAAAAGTGTTGGTACCAATGTTCTCTGGCACATTTTGCCTACACAAATAAGCTTTTTTTCTTTCTACAGATGCCTTAACATACCACCTACAGTTTTTGCCCTCGTCTACTCTGTAATTCACCTCGTCTCTCATAGACCCATCTGCCGACATGCTCATTCCAAAATATGTGAATGCATGCACTTCCTCCATATTTCCTTCAGTTTGATATCCAATCTTTCACTGCCTAGGTTTGTTGTTGCTCTCATCACCTTAGTCTTTTGTATCTTCACTTTTAATATTCCCCTTTAGGTTCCTTCCCCAGCCTTTAAAACATTTGTTCAAAATGTTCCAAAAGAACTGTCATCAGCAAAGAGCAACTGTGACAACTCTCACTTGTATCTTCTTCAGTGTCGTTAATCCCACACTTCTCAACACTCCAGCATTCACTTTTTACATACACATCTATAAATGGGCTAAACCTTCAAGGGAGGCTTGAGTCAGGTATGGGGGCTCTCGATCCAAGGAATTGACTTATCCTACCATTCCTTGGATGCAATATGAATGCCTCCTATTATCTGGATGCTATATGACCCCCACGGGCTTAGCGCTTTCCCGGATTAAAATATATGTTAAACCATGGGGACATCACACATCCCTGTCTAAGGCCTACTTTTAGTGAGAACTAGCCTCCCACTATGCATAATAGGCTGGATAATGAGAACCTTCAAAACTAGGGATGCAAAGCCCATGATGATTCTCTTCAAATCGCTTATGCTCTCTAGGCTGGAATACTGCTGTACACTAACGGCCCACTTCAAGGCTGGCGACATTGCAGACCTGGAGAGTGTACAAAGAACTTTCACGGCACACACAAGTATAATAAGGCACCTAAATTACCGGGAACGGTTGAAGTCCCTTGATCTGTATTCCCTGAAACGTTCCCAAAACTACTCAAGATGGCAAGGGTTACACCAATACATAAAGGTGGTGACCCTACAGACTTAAACAACTATAGGCCAATATCTAACTTACCATTGCTATCCAAAATCTTTGAGAAACTCGTGCACAGGAGACTGTATTCATTTATAACGGCTCAAAACATACTCAACCCCTGCCAATTTGGATTCAGGAAAAATAAAAGCACTAATGATGCAATCATAAAAATGCCAGATCTGCTTTACACAGCATTGGAAAATAAGGAATATCCACTAGGAATTTTTATTGACCTAAGAAAAGCTTTTGACACAGTAGACCACGCCATCCTACTCCACAAACTTGATCATTACGGTATAAGAGGCCATGCGCTTGCTTATTTCAAATCTTACATTACTAATAGGTATCAGTACGTCACCATTAAAGACACAGCATCAGCAACACGGCCACTTGATACTGGAGTTCCGCAGGGAAGTGTCCTTGGTCCCCTGCTCTTCCTCATATACATCAATGACCTTCCAAACGTATCCCAACACCTGAAACCCATTCTCTTTGCTGATGACACGACTTATGTCATCTCTCACCCTAATCTTGCCACCCTCAACACCATTGTGAATGAGGAGCTGATTAAAATATCGACTTGGATGACAGTCAATAAACTTACGCTTAACACTGACAAAACCTACTATATTATGTTTGGTAGCAGAGCAGGAGATGCTCAAATTAACATTAAGATTGACAACACTCTAATTACCAGAAATAATGGGGGCAAATTCCTAGGCTTATACCTTGACAACAACCTGAATTTCAGCACCCATATCCAGCATATAACCAAAAAAGTATCCAAAACGGTTGGGATCCTCTCCAAGATACGATACTACGTGCCGCAAAATGCCCTTCTCACACTATACCACTCACTTATTTATCCATACCTCACCTATGCTATTTGTGCTTGGGGATCAACTGCAGCAACACACCTAAAGCCAATAATAACCCAACAAAAAGCTGCAGTAAGAATAATCACTAAATCCCATCCCTGGCAACACACACCCCCACTCTTCATAGAACTAAACTTACTCCCAGTTCAGTACATCCACACTTACTACTGTGCAATCTACATCTACAGGGCCTTAAGCTCTAATATCAACCTTGACCTAAAACGCTTTCTTGATAGTTGTGACAGAACTCACAGGCATAACACCAGACACAAACATCTCTACGGCATTCCCCGTGTCCGACTAAACCTTTACAAAAATTCAATGTATGTCAAAGGCCCTAAAATCTGGAATACCCTACCTGAGAACTCTAGAACTGCAGACACATTCATCACCTTCAAAACTACCATTAGAAAACATCTTATCTCCCTGATACACCCGTCAACTAACTACACGAATACCACCTGGTGGTTCACACTTACACTCACTCACTCATTTGACCATAAACAGAAATATTAATCTCAATCTTAAAATAATGAATCCTGTGATACTCCAATACTGAAACTATGTACTGTGCCAAAACAAAAGCATTCACATTGCTAAACTCACAAACTAGTATTTAGTCACTTAGCCATAATACCAACTTACCTCATAATTTGTAATATTTTACAATTATGAATAAAACTAAGTCTGCCCGAAATGCCTAGCCATGCTAAGCGTTCTAGTGGTACACTCTGTAATCACAATTTTACTACATGTAAACCACACAATAACCAAATTTCTGTTAACTCAGCATTGTAATCCTTATAGAGAATAAACTTTGAATTTGAATTTGAATTTGAATCCAAGGTTCTCCCTTTAATGGCACTACTTGGCAGTGTGTTCCAGTCTTCTACAAAACTGCTCCTAAACCGGGTGCTTCCCTACATCCTAAGTCTAAATTTGTCCAACTTGAATCCCTTGCTGCGAATCCTGCCTTGATTCTGATATTTTCAGCACGTTATTTATGTCACCTTTATTTATTCTTGTTTTAATTTGGGTGATGCCTACTGATGTTAATATAATCTACGATAGAAAGCTGATTTTAGAAAGTCTGAAATCATGGTTATCTGTGATATGATAAAAGATAAGCTATCTACTTTGAAGCTAGCAGTGTAGAAGGCTGGGTTCAGTCTTGGTGTTACGCTGATGATAACACCGTCGCTGCTCCACACTACTATCAACAGATTCAATTATGGTGTTAAGTTTGTGTTAACAGCGTCGCATTACAACGTACCACAACCACCTTAGTCGAGCTCTTCAACACCAAATGTGAAGTGCGAACACAGAAAAGGAGAGAGAGTTGGTGCCAGCAAGATGTCGACAATCAAAAGTTATACAGAAGTGTTTATGAGCGCCACCATAACGCAGTACCTGACCAACAACACCCTAGTGAGTCTTATTTAATCTCCATTCTTCTATTGTATAAATTAGTACACTACATTGACTTGTTATCCTGCGTTATGTATAGTATTTTACAAGGTTAGACAGGGAATTAACATTGCTTTTGTTTACATAACACCCATCACGCAAGAGAGTTTTTCTGTCATACTCCACCACACAGGATGGTTTATACTCCACCACACAGGATGGTTTATACTCCACCACACAGGATGGTTTATACTCCACCACACAGGATGGTTTATACTCCACCACACAGGATGGTTTATACTCCACCACACAGGATGGTTTATAATCCACCACACAGGATGGTTTTCCTGTGATGGTGTGCGTGAGTAGGACCTGCCTAGTTAGGGGCAATAGGTCTACTACAGCGCCTGTTTTTTTCTTATACCCTCAGTATGTCAACACCAGCCTTCCCTCACCACTTCAGCGTTCAGAGATGGTAAAAGTTGAAACAGGAGTACCATATCTGAGCGAAGAAAAGTTATAGGTGTGGTGCCTTAGGACACTTCTAGGTCCTTTGTTAATAACGTCTTAACAAAGGAGTGAATAGTAACATAAATATGCCGATGTCATTTAACATGTGGCGGGTAGTTAATTCGAAGACTCGAGGCTATGAGCTAAAAACAAAAAAAAAAAAAAAACATACCATGGGCTAAAAATTAGTTAAACCAATGAGGTACCAAGTATCTGCTAAACAATATGAAAAAAATCAATAAATTAGACACTTGTGCAACATTTGGGTATTTATATTCTGTAAACGTTTCTCCACACAGTGGCTTCTTCGGTCTAATGCAGAAAAAGGTGTAAGATGAGGAGAGTTTGAGGTTATCAGTCCCTGAGGCTGGATCGATGTGTTCGGTCCACCAACCTTGACAAAAATGCAGCATATTCACGGAGATGAGGTGTCCGATCAGACACAGCATCGTCTTGGGATCTTGATTCAGGGATTTCTTCAAATACTTGTCTAACATATAGACACGACCTACTTCCACTAATGTTTTTGTTTGCTGGTGACTCCGTCTACCACTGCTCCACCTCATCTGTCATCAGTATATAAGAGCCCCATCCCCGTGAATAGACAGATTACTCCACTCCACATCTTACATCAATAAAAAGATAAATTTAGCCAAAGCCCGCCTGAACAATCTATACAGGTTTAATCAAGCCCCTTCCCACATCAAAAAACACCTGTACAAGATAATGATAAGACCTATGCTAGAATATTCCTGTGTACTCTTGTCATTAACAACTAAACCCAACATGCTACAGCTACAAAGAGTCCAGAATAGAGCATTCCGTTTCATCACAGGTACCAGGAGGAGAGACAGAATCAGAATGGAAGATCTACACATCCAACAGGACATAGATGCAATAAATGTAAGGCTTGACAAACTAAAGAAGAGACAACTACACGCCATGCAAGAACTCTATAAATTAGACAGAGAAAATCCTCCCCAACTTGCAAATACTACCGACTATATTATCAACACACCTTCCCACAGAACCCAAAGAATGACCCTTCAACAGAGAGTGACGATTCATCCACAGGGATAATCTCCAGAGGCCAAAGATCCTGAGCGACCTCCCAGAAGATATATATGTATGGGTAACACCGGAACTTCTTTTATGTCCATTAAGGATAACACCATCCTAATTTATGGAGACTTTCCTTATAACTTATCAACTATTACATTTAACCATGTAACATAGGCAAACCTACTATGACAGGACACCACCTCTGAAGAAGCCATTCGCTGCCTGGATGGGGTAGAGTGCGGTCGTGCTTAGCAACCCTCTATTGTTTACCCAGACGAGCTACTCAGAAACAACATGGCGCTAGGTGTGCGCCGGAGAGTGAATACAGTGGACATTGAGCTCGTCAGTGGGGTGCTAACGCCTACGTCATCCGAGGTGTTGTTGCCAAAAATTATACGAGAAACATACGGCATCAGGGACGAAGACTTATATGGAGTGGCACTGAATGGTGCTTATAGAATGTTTGTGAAACTGCTAACAGCTCAAGTGTATGAGGCGTTGGTGGATCGTTTCCAAGATGTCTGTATTAACATGACGCCGGCAGTGAGGGGCAGGTTGATGGATGTATCGTGACATTATACATGGGTCAAGCTCCGTAACATGCCTTTTGAGGCTGACGAAGTGGATATTCGAAGTGTCTTCGAAAGATATGGGACTGTTCATCTAGCCCAACCTGGAAAGTGGATGAAAGGGGCCTACGCAGGATTTCCGGGGGGCACCTTTAATCTTAAGATGACAGTGAGATATCCTATACCCTCTTATGTATATCTTGAGGAGATTAAAACCCAGGTAATGGTGGTGTATGCCGGGCAGAGGCGTACGTGCCATCTGTGTGGTGAATATGACCATATGGCAGCAGATTGTGGCAAGCGGAATTGGGCTCCTGGGCTGGCAAGAGGCGGAGCATCTGCGCATGAGAGAACGGTGTCTGAGGAAGAACGAGGTCAAGGAGGAGGGCATGGTCATACGAGGAGTGAAGAGGTGGTGGCTCCTCCTGTGGAAACGGGAGAGGATGTGGAAACCCAAGAATCACCCAGCCCATCGTCAGTACAGTTGTTGAGTGAGGAGGCACAAGTGTGCACCGAAGTGAAGGCTATAGAGGAGGAGTTGGCGACGGTGTTACAGGCTATGTTACAGCCTACCGAGGAGGAGAGTCACAAGGAGCAGGAGCCTGGGCTCAGGGCGGAAGAAGGTGTGTGTGAGAGGAGGGAGAACCATGTGGCACCTGCGATGGACAGTGCTGTGGACACAGAAGGCCATGGAGGCGAATTCAGGGTGGTGGAGGTGGAAGTCCATTATGAGACCTCTCAGGACACAGATATGGAGGCGGAGGTAGTAGCGAGGAAAAGGGCGGCAGCGTCAGATTCGGACGATGTCCTGACGCCGGTGCAAAGGCCCGGGAAAAAGACATGGGGTTATGGGACCCAGAGTGACCCTAAGAGAGGGCCACAAGAGCCGGGGGGGAGAGGGTTGGGAAGGAGAGTGGAGAGAGTGGCAAAGGTAATGCCCAGGGGAATGGTCAGAAAGTGAAGAGTGTTGAAAGGTGCCGGGGAGGGAAACCTTAAGTTGGCCTCAGGTGTGTAACTATAAATATAAATGGTTTGTGTGACGGCATGAAACGTGAGTACTTTAGAGTGTTTTTGAACAGATATAAGGTAGACGTGGCTTTTGTGCAGGATCATAATTTTAAGCTTGGTCGTGAATTAGTGGTGTCTGGTTACCAAGCTTTTGTGTTGCCATCTGAGTGGTTGAAAGAGGGAGTAGGTGTGTTGATCAGGGAGGTGAGCCCATTTGTTTTGCACAGGAAGGAAGGAGGAGGGGGAGAGTATTATGTGTGGAAGGATGGTGGATGGGAGAGAGAGTGGCATTTGTGTGTGTATATGCCCCAGCTGAAAATGATACGAAAGTAAAGGCAGATTTTGTGCATGAGGAACTTGTGTACTTCCTACGCACGTTACCATCTGTGGCGATTGTGGGGGGTATTGGAATTGTGTAGTTAAGAGGGCATACATGGAACCCAGGGGAGCGGGGTATTTTTCTTCAGTCTTAGGAGGCCTTTTAAGAGATCTCCAGTTAAGAGATGCATTTAGGGGAGGTATGTGGGAGGTGGAGCATACTTTTGTATGGAGGGGATATGCAGCTTGGTTGGACAGGATATATCTATTGCAGAGGGTTTTGGTAGAGTCTTTTAAAACCATTGAGATGGTGTGTTCCGATCATAGGGCGGTAATGGTGGAGGTGGGGTGGGAGGCTTTGGCTCATAGGCATGGGAGTTATTGGAAACTGAATACAATGGTTCTGGGGGATAGGGAGGGAGTGGAAGGTTTTGCAGTATTATGGGAACAGCTCTGTGCAGAGGGAAGGACTGTGGAGGATGTGGTAGGATGGTGGGACAGTGTGGCAAAGGCAAGACTCCGTCAATTTTACATGAGGGAGGGCAAACAAATTAATCAATTGTGGTATGGCTTGTCAAATTTTTTGGAATTTAGATTACGGGAATGTTATGTGGGGGGACGGTGGCTGGGGATTACCCAGTGGAGGAAATACAAATGTTGAAGGATAGGATAAGGGATTTGCAAGAAGAGCGATTTGCAGTGATACGGGTACAGGCGGGGTTGGATGAGGTACTCTGGGGAGACAAGCCATCGGCTTGCATGCTATGAGGCCAGGAGGTGCGACAGCAAATGACTGCAATACCGGGATTGCAAGTCATTTCTTCAGTGGGGGGATTTCGAGTGGGTCAGGTATTACGAGAAACAAAGGGGATGAGTGCATATGTGGATAGATGGTATGAGGGGTATTGGGAAAGACGTGGGGTGGATGGGGAGGTTCTCGGGCAGGTGTGTGGGTATGTGCCGTGCAAACTGGGAAGGAGTGATCGGGAGGCACTGGGTGGGGTCATTGAAGAGGAGGGAATATGGAGAGCCCTTATGGACATGAGTAAGGGAAAGGTGCCCGTGATAGATGGTTTACCTTGTGAATTTTATGTGCAACACCAGGGGCTGCTAAGAGGATTCCTAGTTAGGTTAATGAATGCAATGAAAGACGGAGGTAAGATGGGAGAAACGCAGTCATCGGCGGTGGTGGTGTTGGTTCCAAAGGGGAAAAAGCAGAGTACCCTTGGGGATTACCGAGCCATTTCGTTGCTATGTGCTGATTATAAGTTGTTTGCGAAAATCCTGGGGAATAGGCTTAGATGTGTTGTGGGGAGGGTGGTGTCTGAGTCTCAATTTGGGTTGCCAGGTAGGTCAGTGGTCGAGGGTCAAGGGATCATCAAGGGGTTCGTGGAGGACATGGAAGGGGGAAGAGGGGGTTGTTGGCATTGGATTGGCAAGGGGCTTATGACAGGGTGGAAAGGGGAGCTTTGCGGAATATTCTTATCAGACAGGGTTTTAGGGAAGAAATTGTGGGGTGGGTGGATACATTGTACTCGGGAGTGAAAGCACAGG